ATTTACATTACAGTTGTGCCTAATAACTTGCCTTGTACTTTCTTGCATCATTGTCTGTTAGATCTCATCAACATTATGTCTAACAAGAAAAAACGAGCGCCCTTGGGTACACACTTTCTTCCTCTCTCTCTCTCTCTCTCTCTCTCTCTCTCTCTCTATACATATATATATATATATATATATATATATATATATATATATATATATATATATATATATATATATATATATATATAAAGAGAGAGAGAGAGAGAGAGAGAGAGAGAACAGTGCTCTTCCCACAATCGGAAAGGCTGTAGCCATATATGCCTTATCTAAACGAATTTCTTCTTAACTCTTGGAATGAGATGAAGAGGAAGATAAAGGATGCAGTCTTATAAAACAAATTTACACAGCTGAAAAAAAAAATGACACGAAATGAAAAGTGCACATAGAGTATTTCTTGTATTCTTGTTTTTCCCCCTTCTTGTCACGCAGCAGGAGGGAATGAATACCTTCACCACTGCAGTTCATCTGTCTTCGATGTGTCCAGTGTTCAACGCCTGAAGGAAGAAAAAAAGGAAGAGAAAAAGAAAATGCCCTGGGGTCGCTGAAGCACCGATTCGCTTAACAGTGCGTGCGTGTGAGGTCTTTTTCGACGCAGCCACACGGCCTTTGCGAACTACACAGACGTGAAGGTCAAGGTCGAGCAACCTCCCCCACTCCCGATTTTCTGCTCTCTTTCCATGCCGAACGGCTATTTGTCACGCGGCACGCCCTTGAAGACCACAAAATCTTTTCGCGAGCGAGAAGAATCCTGCAAGTGCAGCCGACGTGTCGGGAAAGAAAAAAGTAAGGAGAGCGCGGTATAAATGACGATTCTGCAGATGGCAGGTATCGAGCGACGTGAACTGTAGACTGCATTCGCGGCGCCGACAGTCGCTGTAGTGGGAATAGCTGTCGTTGAATGGACGGGGTCCGTTTTCGGCGAAATGATCGGTTCGACGATCTGCGAACACGGGCACCACATCAGTGACGAAGCCCGGCTCTGCGGCACACGCTGGTTCACGCAACTCACCCTGTCGTCACTCGTGCGGTCTTTTTCCCCGACATGTCATCGTTGCTCCGAATTTCAGGTGAAAGCACACATTAACGGCTTCGAGCTAGAACGCAGCTTACACAACACTGTTGGATCTCTTGCCAACAGGGGAAGGTCCACAGGTCACCAAATATATCATTGTTGCTCTTAGATTGTAGGGCTGCTTCGATCCACGTGTCTTGGCAATTTAGCGCGTGTTAAAGAAGAATGTTGTTATTTAGAAAAATAGAAACCGATGAGCTGTCTTAGTCGAAAAGAAGAGAGCCAAGTGCTTGAAGTATCCCATTTCGAATCATCCAATCTAGTTATTGAACACTATATAAGTAAAACTTGTGCTATATTTTGAATATCATGTGGAACAAATGAGCCATTATTCTAATGGCCAGACGACAGTCATTCAATTGAGGAAGCGTTAAAAAAAACAGAAAGGGCTTATTTCAAACAAACGTAGACGCACTGACCACCTCTTGAAGTTGTCCGAAATTTTAAATTTTAGTGACAAGCGCCGCCGCGGTGGTCTAGTGGCTAAGGTACTGGGCTGCTGACCCGCAGGTCGCGGGATCGAATCCCGGCTGCGGCGGCTGCATTTCCGATGGAGGCGGAAATGCTGTAGGCCCGTGTGGTCAGACTTGGGTGCACGTTAAATTAAGAACCCCAGGTGGTTGAAATTTCCGGAGTTGAAATTTCCGAAATTCTATGAAATTCCGAAATTCCGTATCTATTAAATTTCCGAAATTTCATAGATAATAGATAGATAGATAGATAGATAGATAGATAGATAGATAGATAGATAGATAGATAGATAGATAGATAGATGCAGACACAATGTCGCTGAAGTTCCCTAAGAAATGCTTCGAATTCAAAAAACGTAGGCGTGTCCACATGGTCAACGAATAATTCTCGTTTACCAACGAGACCTTTGAAGACTCAGCACTGGCGGTCCTAAATATGTACAAGACATGTCCATAGTTTACAAGTATATACGAATATCACACAAATTGTAATTACGAACGAGTGTTATCAATACATTCACCCTATAGTCGAGTACAATCTTTTTTGGGCCACAATTTAGTGTGGTCCAAATATAAACAGAACCGCAATAAGTTCACACAAAATAGTCTAAACTGCATGGAAATCATTGGAAGAGGCCTTCGTCCTGTAACGGACATTAAATATGTTGACATTAGCGATTGTGACGATGAAAGTCTGACAAACGCGAAGAAATGCACTCGCCGCATGAAATGTGTTGTTTTGCGCCATCATAGCCTCGTTAACTAACTAAGAAATGCACTTCCCTGAGTTCATGCTACTTTATTTTTTTTCGAAAGTACATATTATCAACACAGGCATAGATCATTCAATGAACAAAGCAGTGCTATTTATCAAATAATAAATTTCTAAATAAAGTATATGCTTCTAATAACGGATGGACATGCAAAGTTGTCTCTAGGGAAGTAAAGCGCCACCAACTTTTGTAATTTGGCTATGCTTCGTTTGATTACAAATTTTTAGCTTTTTTTTTTACTCTCAGGATTTATCTGTGATGATTAGGAATTGCAAACTGTCTCCTTTCTATAGTATTACTATTGGTGTAGTTCATGTTAGATCTTGTTGCTTACTACTTTTTGTAGGAAATGTACTCGGCATTCGTTTAGTAAACTAGTTTTAGAGAAAGTAAGTATCCTAAACAAACAAAACAACACACATACACATTCACACTCATGTCCAAACCCATGCACATTCAACATGCCTACTGACATGAACGTGCCCCGACATGCATGCACGTGTGGGGCGTGCGTTGGTGCGTGCTTCTTCAGTGCACTCAAATGTTTTCAAGTTCGCAACTGTGTTTGTAAACAATTGTGTGGGTTTCGTAAGCGATTTGCCAATATTATTTCAATTATTTTTTACACTGGTGGTCTGAAGTTTGTGTACTATTTTACCTTTAAAAGAAATAGCAATGAAGTATCCGAACTCGATATATATATATTGTAACGGGTGCAAGAGCGGAAAAGTCAAAAACTAGTTTATTATGGGCGAACTTGTGCCCTGAAAATTATGTGCGAAAAGATGGAAGAGTCCGCTAGAGCGTTCCAAAACAAAAACTGTTCATCTGCCCACGCACCTTCTTCTTCTTCGCAGCTCCAACCCACACTGGCTCGTGCCTGTGAACAAGCGGCATGAGTCATGCGGCCCAAAGCAAGAGTGCGCACAAGACTGCGGACGCTGATTCTTCATAATGTAGGATATTGTGAACAGTCTCTGTGGCAATATATATATATATATATATATATATATATATATATATATATATATATATATATATATATATAGTAGTGGGAATTCTGGCAAGGTTTCATCCTTGTCATCCTTGTATAACTACGTTGCTTGTATATTCTCGGTACGCCCTGCCACGTTGCTCTATTGAATAGCTGACCCGCAGGTTGCGGGATCGAATCCCGCCTGTGGTGGCTGCATTTTCGGTGGAGGCGAAAATGCTGTCGGCCCGTGTGCTCATATTTGGGTGCACGGTAAAGAACCCCAGCTGGCCGAAACTTTCGGAGGCCCTTCACTATACGGCGTTTCTCATACTCATGTGGTGGTTATGAGACGTTCGATTCCACAACCTAGCGATTATAAAATTAGTAAAATTTAGATGATGAGAATATAAAAAATAAATGCTCAAAAAAATTAACGCTTCAGGAAATTCGACCATTGGTCGAATTTTTCGGAGCCCTCCACTACGACGTCTCTCATAAGCATATGTTGGTTTTGGGACGGTAAACCCCACATATCAATCAATCATATAAATTCTCGTTCATAGAAGTTGAGCGCACGAATCAGTTGTAATTTTGATGAAAGACGATGTTTTTTCTTACCCAGGCTGATTTCACTTAGTGGAAACTTTGAAGAAGGCATGCTTCATTAACGGTATCAAAATAGTGGGCGTTCTTTTCATGAGCTGTGGCGCGACGCCAATATCTTAGAAATGCATTAAAAGAAGTAGTCCGATATGGACGTTATTTACTCGAGTTCTTTTTCTGACGAGTGAAGTGAATTCTACTGGACGATTCACCGGCGTCATCGGCACTTCATAGGCCAGACTATGAGTGTCGAGGGCGTCGGTGCAATAAGCTGTATCTTTCACTTAATGCAGGGAGCATCGATAAACACAGCAGGGGATACTTTTGGGGGCCGAATATTTGTATGGCTTGTTTTGCAAATCCCTTCACTGCGGCATAGCACAGAACATCGAATGATTAGGTGCACCAGCAGTCAAGTTCGAGAAGAAGGCATAATGTGCAAAAACTTTTATAAAAGTGTATAGCTAATATTATTTCCTAAACTTTGCCTTAATTTCTCGTTTTTGTTGTTTTAGCCGATTCCTGAAGGACTCCAGAAAACAGTTCTTTACAGACATTCTCTATTCATTCAGCCACTGTGTCAAGAGAGATAGATACAGTGTCGTGAAGATTCCTCACGGGGTCGCTAACGTATAAATATAAAATGGCTATGTATTTACCGACGTGCTTGCTGCTGCCCCCCCACCCGAATACCTGCGGCTAAATTAATAACACATTTCGTCCTCGATAATTTTTGCCACTACAAGAGCGCGATCGAGAATAGTATATTCTGTATCAAGGACGATTGACGCTGGCTCGACTTTGGGGTTCTTTCGTAAGAGAACTCTTCTTTGTGAATACGGAGTTTTAGGGCATTCATACAAAAGAATTCTTGAGGTAGGACAGTTAGTGAGACAAGGCGAAGGACAACCGTTATGTTATAGGCTACCGGCCAGTGGTAAAACGCTCTCAAGTAGGAAAAGAGTTCTGATGTCAGTTGCTGTTGAAAACAACTTTCTTTTTTTTGCTCACGGTGAAAACTAATGGGACCAATTAGAAGGCGACGAATCAGCGCTCACCTTGAGGTCGGCGTTCCTGCGCAGCTCGTCGGCCCACTCCTTGTAGGCGTCGCCCATACACGCGAGCCGGTTGACAAAGTCTCGAAACTCGCGGATACGCAGGTCACCGGGGCAAATGCAGGTCCACTCGTAGAGCAGCTTCAGGATGGTCAGGTGAACACCGGGCAGTTCGCACAGAGGCCCGTGTGCCGGAGCAACCGCCTCGCAAGCTGCGATAAGGCCGACAGACACAACTCGGTGATGATGCACTTGGAAAAGATCTTTAGGTTTACTTGACGCAGCTTAACTAGCGACATGTGGCTTGGTATTTCTAGAATTTTCAAATGAGATGCTTTTCTGGGCGTTGCCATGTATTGTCTGCATTTTTACGAGCTGTTGTGATATTGGTTCAGGAGAGCAGTAGGCGTGCTTGCTTTCCCTCGCCCCCCTTCCGAATTTTTCGTCCTTTCATGCACCACCGACCAGTGGTGTCACCCAGGGGAAGGAAATTAGTGGGCTCCAGCCCCATCTCCCGCATTAGATTTTTCCGTGCTTTAATACACTGCCGTACAAAATAACCACATTCACTGAATACCACTCAAGATGACGTCTGAAATGTATGTTTTTTTTCGAGCCCGAATAACCAATGGAGTTAGAAAACTTGTGGAAAGATGGCTTTTCTGCAAGGTTTATTGCAACCATGCACTTTGTGAAACCGAGTTTCTGTCACGGAATGCCCCTTTTTTGACCCATCGTCCTGCGGATTAGCGCGCGCCGTGCTCCCTTCGCTGACCGGTGCACCGACTTGGGTACAAAAAATACTTGTTCTTAGAACGAGAAAAGCAGTGGAAGCTCTTGCGGCCTGAATATCCAACGAGACGGAATGTTCAATAGTGGCCATGCAGGCTCGTTAGACATTCCGTCTCGGTTAGACATTCATACTCTTGGACATACAGTCTCTTTGAGCATTCAGGCTTGGTTATACATTCTGTCTCGTTAGACATTTATTCAGGCCGAGATCAAGTGACCCATTGAACGTACCATCTAGGTCAGAAAACAAGTTTCTCCAGCAGCAAGAACCAAACGTTCTGGCTCGTTCTAGGTAGTTTTTGCATGTAAGGTTCTACCATGTTAAGCCAAATAATTTAATTTAAAACTAGAATTCACTCCGGAACTCTTTCGACCAACATTCTTTAAACGAAAACAAAGCATAGGAGAGGCTGACTTCTTTGTGATAAAACAAATGAAATAGATAACGAAAATGAAAAGCATATTTATATTGCCGCATACCTTTATTAAAGTTTTCTTATCGCTTGTTGCACTATGTTCAGCGCAAACATTGTTAGTGAAGCTTCGAGGCTGTTCAATAAAAGATTACACCCACTACGTGAACCTTTAAGATTATTCTGGAAACAACGTCACCGCTAGCGATAACACTCGAATGTTCCATGGCGAGTATATAAATGCCGACACGCTTCACCACTTGTCAGTTGATGGCCGACGCTCCGTTCACTGCTAGCAGTGCAAGACTGCTACTGTAATCGGACTTTCTGTTTACCGGACACAGGTTCCCCCAAATAAACAGTTAATTCCCAACATAAAGTCTCCTGTCTTCGGCCCCGTCACGACCCCGTGACATCTGGTGGAGGTGCTGCTTCTTTTATGTACCAGACGCCCCCGTCAAGCCGTGAACCCAGCCCACGTCACGGAGAAGACACCGACGCCAACCAGGAGCAGTGAAAAAGCCGCCGACAGAAAGGTCTATACCACCGGATTACGGGCTTCTACAAGACAAGGCACAGAAGACCAAGGCCATGACCTCGACTGCAGCGACAATGACAACCGCAGCGTCCCAGCCCGCGATCGTCATGCATCAACCTAGGGAACCACCGATTTTCAATGGGTCATCGTTCGAAGATCCGGAGACCTGGCTAGAAACATACGACCATGTGGCCACCCTAAACCACTGGGACAAGGACGAAAAGCTCCTTCGTGTGTACTTCTAGTTGGAAGACACCGCACGAACCTGGCTCGAGAATCGGGAGTCCACACTCTGAACGTGGGATGTCTTCTGCGGCGCATTCCTGCAAACGTTCGCGAGCGTCGCTCGCAAAGAGAGGCCCGCTGCGTTACTAGAGACCAAGGTTCAGCTGCCAAATGGAAATGTCATTTTGACAGAAGAGATGACCCACCTATTCCGTCAGGCTGAACCAGACATGCCTGAGGAGAAGAAAGTTCGTTTCCTCATGCGAGGGGTCAAACAGGAGCTCTTCGCGGGACTAATGAGAAATCCACAGAACACAGTCCAAGAATTTGTATCCCAGGCGACCACTATCGAAAAGACCCTGGACATGCGCACCAGACAGTATAATCGTCGCCTGACTCCTGAATGCACCGCCGCTGAAGTTAGTGACTCCGAAGACCTGCGTAAAACGATCCAAGCAATCGTGCGGGAAGAGCTGCGCAAGCTGTTGCCTTCGGCGCAGCCTCAAGTGGATTCGATCGCCGAGATTGTGCGAGAAGTTCAGCAATCGCTTCGAATTCCCCAACCACCACTGCCGAGCCGAGAACTATGAGCTACGCCGCTGCAGTGCGCTAGAACGCTCCTCCCCGTCCATGCCAAAACGTCACCCCATTGCATTTCTGTCGCCAGACGCCACCGCCGCCACCACCCCCACTGACGTCCTACCGTTCGCCAGCGGGCCAGCGCAGTGCGCCGAGGAAAACCGACATTTGGCGTGCACCTGACAACCACCCGCTCCGCTACCACTGCGGCGAGGCCGGGTACACTTACCGCCGTTGCCAGTACCGACAGATGGGACTGCGTGGCTTCGCCGTCAATGTGCCACGTCCGCAGCCAGGAGAACGGCCACGTGACATCGCCGACTACCTGACAGGAACTCAGTGGACACCACGAAGTCCTTCCCTTTCGCCATCGCCCAGCCGTCGCATGTCACCGCACCACCGGCCGTACTCTGGCCCAATGCGACGCCGGTCTCCTAGCCCGTAATCGGGAAACTAATGGCAGCAACCGATGGAGTTGCGGTTGCTGTGCGGCGAACTACCGAAGAGCCTCCAACGACGACGCCGCGATGGAGCTTTCCGAACACCACGCCAACGAGGCAAAGCCCTGACGACAAAAACTCACTTACCAAAGCTGACCTGACGACGCAAAGTAGAAGCAGAGGAACAAGCCAATGAAGCCGTGACCCGCCACGGCCTAATTGCAACGCGAGACGGCGAACTAGCGAACTAGCGAACTAACGGCCTCAGTGTGACCACTCTTGTCGATACTGAAGCCGACTATTCCGTCATCAGTGGGTCGTTCACCACGAAGTTGAAGAAAGTTAGGACAGCTTGGGAAGGCCCCGAAATCCACACAGCCAGAGGTCATCTCGTAACGCCAGCAGGAATCTGCACAGCGAGAGTCACCATTAACGGCCGTATTTATCCTGCAGACTTCGTAGCCTTACAGCATTGCTTGAGAGTTGTCATCCTTGGCATGGACTTCTTATGCCTCCATGGCGCAGCCATCGACCTAAGAACAAAGTCGATAACGTTATCTCTAGAAGAAGCACTACCGCCGCCGTCAGGGAACCACGCCTTGAATATGCTAAAAGAACAAGTCACCATTCAGCCTCACTCCAGCGTCATTATTTCAGTCGGAGCTCTGAGATCACCTGATTTGGAAGGCGTCATTGAAGGCAATCAGCATCTGTTGGCCACCCGCAATATTTGCGTCGCAAGAGAAATCGCAGATCTGCGGGGAGGCAAAGCAATGGTTATGCTCATGAATTTCAGCAATGAATACAAACACGTGAACAAAGGAACGACGGTCGCATACATCGAAGAAATCGTGGAAGCCACTAGTGCTTTCGCCCTCGCCGATCCTGCGGAACCTGCTCAAAGAAACCAAGCCCCTCCCTCAGCTTTCCACGTCGATCCCAGCCTTCCGAACCATAAGCAAGAAGAACTCAAGACCCTGCTCCTGCAATACGAGAATTGCTTTTCGTCATCGTCAAAAATTCGGCAGACGCCAGTCACGAAACAACGCATCATAACCGAGGAAAATGCCAGACCACTCCGTCAGGGTCCGTAAAGGGTTTCGACGCGAGAACGCGAGGCCGTAAAGACACAAGTTGATGAAATGCTACGGGACGACATCATCCAGCCGTCCAAGAGCCCATGGGCGTCCCCCGTGGTGTTAGTGAAAAAAAAGGATGGAACCCTACGTTTCTGCGTCGATTATCGTCGCCTGAACAAAATCACAAAAAGGACGTGTATCGTTTCCCACGAATAGATGACGCACTGAATCAGCTTCATAACGCCAAGTACTTTTCGTCAATGGACCTCAAGACTGGCTATTGGCAAATCGAAGTTGACAAAAGAGACCGAGAGAAGAGGGCGTTTATAGCACCGGACGGCCTGTTCGAGTTTAAAGTGATGCTCTTGGGTCTTTGCTCAGCGCCTGCCACTTTTCAACGCGTTATGAATACAGTACTGGCATGATTGAAGTGGCAGACTTGCCTTGTGCACTTGGACGACGTTGTTATGTTTTCCTCGAGTTTAGGCGAGCATTTTCGGCGCCTTGAAGCTGTACTTCAAGCCATCAAAACGTCCGGACTCACTCTTAAGCCATAAAAGTGCAGAATTGCGTACGAGGAGCTCTTGTTTCTGGAGCACGTGATTAGGAAGTTTGGAGTCCGTCCCGATCCGCAGAAAACAGCTGCCATCGCCGACTTCCCGCCGCCCACTGAAAAGAAAGCAGTGCGCCATTTTCTGGGCCTGTGCGCCTATTATAGACGGTTTGTCAGAAACTTCGCCCGCATCGCCGATCCACTCACGAACCTTACCAGGACCGACGTGGAGTTTAAGTGAAAAATGTCGCAGGAACGCGCTTTCCAGAAGTTAAAACATCGCCTCGAGACGCCTTCGTTACTTGCGCATTTCGACGAATTCGCCGAGACAGAAATGTACACTGACGCAAGCAGCGTAGGTCTCGGCACCGTTCTTGTGCAGAGGGCTGACGGACTCGAATGGGTTATTAGTTACGCCAGCCGATCGCTATCCAAAGCCGAAGCCAATTATTCCACAACGGAAAAGGAGTGACTGGCCATCATCTGGGCTACGTCAAAATTTCGCCCTTACCTCTATGGCAGGCCCTTCAAGGTTGTGAGTGACCACCACGCCTTGTGTTGGCTAGCTACCTTGAAGGACCCTTCAGGTCGCC